AGGTATTTATATATTTCATATTATTTAATTTATTTATTTAATTACAAATAGTCCAACACGTCGTAGAAAGTACAGAGATCATGATAAAAAAATAAAAGCAATCGTGGAAAAATTGCTCTGAAATACCAACAGTTCAATATTTAAGAGGTTTATCTTAAAATGTTCAATATTAACTAATCACTAATTTTAAATTAAATAATTAATTTTTCAACTATAATTTTTTCTATGTTTTTTTTTACAATAATATTTTTATAAGGATCATACTAATTACTAACACTATATTATTAAACAATTATTATAAATAATGTTGTAGGTACACGATATATTTATAAAAATAAAATAAATAAATAATATGAATGAACATTTTTAAAAAATCAGTTTAAAAGATATTTTAACCGAATACATTTTTGTCATAAGATAGTTTCACAAAAGATATTTTGATCAAGATATTTTGACTGAAGATATTATTTCGAAGATATTATGACATGGAACCGTTTAAAATCACCCCCCTTCAATATGTATCAAAGTTAAACTCAGATGGTGTCCCTTCTGGTTATTCTATATTAGAATTACAAATATTGATTCTCGGAGGTTACACATAAATATTTTTACATATTAAGGTACCTAGTTGGAAAATTTGAAATACATTATGTTGTTGCAAATTGTTTTTATAGATGATTGAAATATTAATTATTATTATACATTACATAAAATATAAATAGATGAAAATAAATGATTTTCTTTTAAAAAGAAGTATAGTTTTGACTTTTGATGTTGCAATTTCAAAAGTTTAACCTATTCAGACTAGAAACTTTCCACCACTACGAAATATGTATATTACTATAAATTAGTATGATCTTAACTATCAGTTTAAACATAAATACGAAAATAAGTAAATTAATAGTACAAGTATTTTTTTTTGTTAAGTTCTCAGTTATTAATTCTCAATTTTACTCAAATAAATTAAACACAAGATGTTTGTTCGAATTACAATTAATAGATTTCCTTATTTTGTATTTTGTGATATTATATTAAAAATGTAAATACAATTGTTGTGCTAACTTACTTATTTGGCCTGAAATTAAAAGAACAATTTTTATTATAGTATTACTATTTGAGTGAATTTATAACAATAAAATTATCAATGATAATTCTTCACTATCTAGATTCTAAAAAAAAATTTACTCATTGGATTTACAATGACGTAGTGAATTTTTTTTTGTATTATTTTTCATAATAATATGTCTGATATATCATGTTTTGAAGTTTAATAGGTTTATGGAACAATGGCAGAAGAAATATGAGAGGCAACTTAAAAATCTGTTCATTTTTTTTTTGAACCGGCGTATCAATGTTTATAAGTGACTTATATAATATATATATAAGTTATATATATAGTTATATAATATAACAAAAATGTAAAATTCTTTTTGCCTGTGATTACTTATGAGGAATTTTAAAAGTTGTGTGTCTTATTTGAAGTAATTCTCAACTTTTAACCACTTATTCAAGTTTCAATGGACCCACATGATATCACTGTCTCGACACATGGACATTTCCTTGTTGGACAGCCGCTCGTAACAGTACCTCACCATGATTCCAATGAATAACCTTACATTATTATTATTTGCAGAACTATTAACACAGTAATAATTATCATATATTTTATGAATCACGTTTCACAAATATTATTTATTAACAATTGGCATAATTATTGTATCATTTTGTCTCTAAACACATTTTAAATATACTATTTCATTTTTTCCATAGTAATGACCATTTGTCCATTATGACTATTATCATTTATCACACAACTCGTTTCTGTACATCACCGGAACACACAGTATTTATACTCCACCGATAGCCATGGGTGGACAATACCTAACAATACTCATTTCAGGATGATCGAACTAATTTCCCTCACACGTATATTATGTCTGGGAGTCAAATATCAGCTACAATCCCCAACATTAATCTAACCATAATTATGGTGAAACTATGCAAACCATTATTCAGTTAGTTTATTATTAGCTTGTTAAATTGTTTATTTCTATTAAAATTTGAATTTATTGTATGAACATATTAAGTACTACATGTACATGGTTATACTATTACTTACATATTACAGTACAGTATTGTTTTGGAGTCATAAGCTCATCTGCCTTCTCTAATAAATTAATAAAAGAATATGTTATAAAGTTAGGTTGCCTATTATTTGATTATAAACATAAAAATAGGAACACGAATACAACATATTTAGGATGAACTCTATACTATATTTTTATAATTAACTAATTTTAAAAACAGATTAATTAACGAATAATACTTACCCCTATTTTTTGTATCATTGATTATCAAATAATATATTGTACGTAAATAACCTGCCAATAGTTTTAATATTATAAAAATATATAAATATTATATTCTATAAATTTTAAAAACGTATAGTTATTTTATTTGAAAACATTAATTTATAACGTCTATTCGTATTTTATTTTGTAATATTGTTTTTTTGCTCAAAAGTTTATTTATCTAATTTATCAGACCAATAAATTAAATTACAAAATCCATAATATTATGATATATTAAATCCATAATATTAAATTGTTTGATACAAATCCATCAACTATTTTGACAATAATTAATATTTAACGTGATTAGCTACGATTATTTAAAAAATCGTTAGGATGTTTTTTAAAGCAGATTGATAAATGCACAAGAACACTGAAGATTAATATTTATTATAAAAATATTTATTAAAATATTATATACACTGACACACTCGTCAATTGTGGTTATCTCTCACTTATACTAAACCTTTTACTTAGGCTACGAATATAATATTATGTTTGTTTCGTTGGTTGAGACTCAACATGCCAACATTGTAATATTATGGTTCCTAGTGGTGGAGGTTTGTTAATACTTATCTTTGTTGCATTTACTAGAAACAATAAAGTCGTAATCCTATATTTTATCTTTGTAATCTATTATACCTACTATATTATAATTTCTTTAATGTTGCACTTTAGTCTGCATTAGGTGTGTTATGATAAGTTCATTTTAAAAAAAGGTTTGATTCCCAGTAGTTATAAAGTAAGAAATGTACTAAAAATTTTCTATTTGTATCTAACATTTGAAAATTCAATTCAAGATTCAGTTTTCTACATAGGGCAAAAAAAAAATTTTAGTGGAGAGCAAAATATCACGATTTTCATTTTTGATTGGCGGTGCCGTTGACATAACCTGTTACCAGCATACAATCACACTCCCACTAATCATAATTTATGACGAACGAAAATGTCATGGAAGGCTGCAAAGAAATATCATATTACCTAAATAATGTACCTTATTAAAGGCATAAACAGGCCCCTTAATAATAAATACATGGAACAGGAACACTGGAAAACGGAATTGTTATGTGGTACTATAATTTGAGGACCTTGCACAAACCAGGTTGTTTATTTTTAGATTAGTGGGCATGTCAGGCTTAGTAGAAACATTTAACCTACTAATATGCATAGTACTTACTAGAAGAAAATTACATAGGGAAAAGACTGTTAGGATGACCACCTTTGAGATAGGAGGATGTGGAAGCTTTAGTAGAAGTTCTTGATTGGACATTAATAGCATTGGATAGGGAAAACTGGAAGAAATGTTTTGTGTTTGGATGGTCCTAGTGGCCCATATACCAAAGAAGGAGAAGAAAAAGAAGTAATTAGATAAATGGGCTGACATTTTAAAAATCATGCTCGCCAAACATAACCACCAAGGTGTTAAGATGAAACAAGAGTGTTCTGTAATCATCTGTAATATAATTACAGTAGTATAGTAGTAGTAGTTAGTATAATTAAAATTTGGTGATGTTAATAAAATTTAATACCATCTCAATAAATATAGTTTTGCCTTAAGATTGTTGCAAAATTGTTTTCTTCAACCATACATTATACGATACGGGAATACCACTCTATATGGATAGAATTTTTTAAACATCTTAGACCTGCTTTTAAGTTACCTAGACAGTGGCTAGTCGTAAGGTAAGAAGTAATTACCTAAATCTAAATATAAAGCTAGATGGTTAAATTAGTCTTAGAAATTAAGAAATCATTAGTTTTATTCTTACAAAACCAGAACCATATTTTGATAATCAAAACCATCAAAATCGTTGTCATTTGGAGAAGATTACACATTTAAAAGGCATTTGGTTTGGTAAAAGAAGAATTTCCAAACATTGGAAATTCTTGATTGTGATTATTAAAGTTTTATGAAACAACTCAGAAAAGGTTGAACCTTTGAGGTGATGGAGGAAGCTTTGAGATTAATGTATTTTTTTGTCAAAAATATCAGTGACAGATTTATCATCTCCAGTCATCTAAGGTGTGACAATGAGGAGTTAGCAGTACGTTACATTATCCAGGATTTATAAAAAAAAAAATCAAATTACAACAATAAGTATTACTTATAGGTATATGAATGTACAGGAAAAGTATGTGATATTGCACTTAAAAACAAACTACGTCAAACATAAATCAATCTAAAAATATAAAAACCATTTAGTAGATCAAAATGAAAATAATGGTAGAATGTTAATCTAGGATTAATGATCACCGTTAGAATAATCATTTGAAAGTTCCAATTTGGAGTAAATTGAATAAACATTTATTTCAAGTCAAAATTAAATTAAATGTGGCTACTAATATATAAAAATATATATTATTGTTTCAAATTGTTAAAGTAATAATATTTTAGTAGAAAATTAAAGAACTTTAATGACAGATTGTTACCCAAATTTTAGTTGTATAAAAGTTATTTTAATATTTTAAACGATAGGTAACTACTGATTAGTTTTTGTGTATTATACTCTATTAAAGATAAGATAGAACCACTCAGCTGACCAAGACTCATCTCTTCAACTCACCCCCCCCCCCCCCCCCACCTCCACTATACTACCAACACCATCACACAAACACACATTTTGAAGCGCATACGCTAATTTTCATTATCTACCACCGAGGATTGTCAACCAATAACATATCGCATATCAATCGCCTAAGGATCAGACGGTAAACGACAGCTGAGTCTATCTTCCCGAAAGTAGTATTTAATCTTAACCGCAATACATTTTTTTTTATATATAGATTAAAATATAATTTACTAATTTTTTCAGGTAAAATCACACTATTATCAATCGTGGTATCAATCTTTTTTTTCTTAGAAGATGCCGTATTTTTATCAGTTTCTTCGGGCTTGGACTCAATAACCTCAATCTTGTTTTCTCCCGTTGTTTTCTTGTTACTTGTTATAGTAGATGGAATATCTTGGGTATCCAATTTTTCATTATCAGGTTCTTTGACTAAAGTCACATTTCCATAAATAGTGATGTCAATCGTTTTTTTCACGTGATCTATAAATTCAGTAAAGTCTTCTGGGATATCAAATTGTTTGTGATAATAATCCACAAATGTTATTAAGCGCATTGTGTATGAAAAAAAAAAAGATTATTGCATATTATTATTTATAAATGTATTATGTACCTACGTTGTGACAGGTTATTACATGAAAATTAGGTTATTAATGAATAATCTAACACAATCTGCATTTTATTTTTGAAAATAGGCGCGTATATACTTTTAAATTAAGAATAGTTCCACACTTAGTTAGGTACTTACTAAACTGCAGTACAAAATTCAAAT